CAGTTTAAAGATAGAATTACGTCTTAGAAAGAATCCACTGTGGAGGACTTTCCTCTAGCTGTGTAAACCGCCGAGAAAACAACGAGATAAGTGTGAGATAAGACGCAGTGCTGAGTTTTATAGGTCACCATTCGCTCCATCATCCCTTTATGGCTGTAAGAGCTGTTTTATAAGAGTCAAAGATTTGAGGAAACTGAAATCTTCCGACAATTGGAGTTTACGAATCATCTCGCCGACACGATTTATCGTCCATATATCCAACACTGCAATCAGTGCCCTTTGTGACATCATCCCCTTCTCTACTATTTTCAAACAACGGCATCTGTATTGGCGTCCAACGCAGGATATCATTTCCACACTTCCATTGCACCTGACGCCTTCCAGATGTTTGGATGGCTCCAGAAACGAGGCGGTCAAATGAAAGCCTGAAAATTTTCTGTCCTTGCTGGACCGGTAAGATGCACGTTTCCGGCCCAGGCCAAGCCAATGATTGTTACGGCGTAATAACAGTACACCAAAACAGAATGGTAGAGGTCAGAATATTACGATAATATCGTTTTGACGTCAACAAGAAGTTGACGAAAGGAATTGCTGCTTATCGTTGAGTTCGCCAAGCATCGTTCCCAGTGTCATTGCGTCTTTCTCCTTAATGGTTATAGAATCGAAACGTATGCTTTAAATTATTTTGCATTTACGCTTCGCACATGGTATTTGAACAGCTGCAGTGAGAGATGCATATCAATTATTATTCTGTTTCGAACACTAACATCCTGTGCTCACCATGAGAGATGTATCAACAGGTGATTCTCGTTATATGCCGTAGGATGAACATAAAAATAGAGCCTTCACCTGCTTAAATGACCCAATTGGCAACCAGCAGCGAGAGAATAGTGCAGTATCTATGAGATCTACCCCTGGGGAAGCTATACGCCCGCGGTTATGATTTTAAGGTATGCTTGTCCTTACCGTAGTGACTGTGAGCATAACTTGTAAATATAACTTCACTACGTAAATGCAATCGCCCTCTTGTTCCATATGGACCAAAGGAATACGTCAGCGCCATTGTTGCATAGAGCTTGAACTCTTACTTATAACGAGATTCTATTGTATATCTGTTTTTTACACGAAAGTCTGAAGCAGGCATTAGAGAATGCGTGATATATCTTACAATATTGCATAAGTCAACTACCGTTGTCACTCATGGCTTTACTGAGCTTGAACATCAGGGTCGTCAAGTTTGTTGAACAAGCGAATCTGTGAACAAATTGAAGGTGATTGATTTATTACAATGTATCGTTATTTCAGGTTTCCGCTGGTTCCTGGCATTGCTGTGCGGTGACGTACCTCGGCAGGGTCTACAGCTGGGGATACAACTCTAAGCACAACGTGTTGGGCAGGGACAGCAGCGATAAGTTTTCTTCGGTGCCGGCTCCGATCAAATCACTCTCAAAGACGTTCGTTAGATCCGTTTCCTGCGGCCACAACTTTACGCTACTGTGCTCAGAGGAGGGAAAGGTGTACTCGTGGGGTAACGGGAAGTACGGCGTTTTGGGCAGCGGCTCTGAGTATGCCATTCCTTACCCCAAGCTGATCGCAGCGTTCGCCAACGTCGCCGTGAAGGTCATTTCGGCTGGCTATTGCCATTCTGCGGCTATCAGTGAGAGCGGTGTGCTGTATATGTTTGGCAAGGGCGAAGACGGGGCTCTGGGACTCGGTGAGGACAATGTGTCCAACAAACTATTGCCCATTGGTGTGAGGAACTTCCTCTCTTCTGGAAGCGTGCTGACCGACGTCAGTTGCAGCCGGGGCGAAAACCAGGCACACACGCTAGCGCTGACCAATCGGGGTCACGTTTATGCT